CCAGGTAGTGCTGACTATCACCAAAATAACCTTTAAAAAAATTTAAAAAATTACTTTCTCTTTTATTTTTTGCAAAGGGAATCGGTAATTTGTCTCCGATCAAACCTTGTCGGCGTTACCCCAACACCGGACCCACTAGGAGACAGGGCTGAGACTTTGGGCTGGAACCACGCGGGAGCGATTCCAATTTTCCTCTGCCCCGCCTGTCCCCAGCTGTGCTAGTTAGTTGTCCATCATTCAACTTTTCCTAGATACTTTCCACCAATCTTCGAACCTCCTCTTCGTGATTGTAATCCTTTACTCTTCCAATCTGTCATCGTCGACACCGAAACCCCTGCAGGGCTACCGCCCGATCCGTTACGCCTTCAAAACCAAAATGTTCAAAGGTCTCGCCCTCACTACAGCCTACGACACATAATGTGCCGTATGCTATAATCTGACGAAATTTATCTTTACCTCGAAAATCGAAGAACTTCCTTGTTAATTATCAACCACTTTTTCATTTCGCATGCCCTGTTTGTTTGTGTTTTTTTTTTGTGACCTGTCGATGTCAAAACAGCCGATTCCGACTGATTTCACGATTTAATATAAAATATAATAAATGTTCTTATGAAAAATATGCTCTGAGGGATAGTTCGACGAAGAATCAATCTTTTTATAGCAAAAAAGTTTGAAAAAATGGGAGTAACGGTTATTAAATGAGAATTTTCGTAAAATGAGAGAGAAAATCGCGTGTATTCTCTATGGGGCTTGGAGGAGCGCTCCCTCTTAAAGCTGATTTTTCTCGCACTCTTCCCTCCCATATATTCCTTTCTACCTCTTTCGCTTCTTTTTTCACGGAACTATATTCTGCTCAGCCCCGTCAAAACAGTGTGCAGGTATTTAAATGTCGGCTTTAATTTGGGTTCGGTTTGTCCGTTTTGTGTTTGAACTTTTGAATACTTTCCGTGCACACCGGGTGTCATCCATTTCAGTTAACTATATCTTCGAATTGTAGTTTCTGCCCTACCTCGTTTGGTGTGGTCCCATGCGCTCCCAGTGCTAACCTGCCCACGCTCCTCTGTCGAATATCCCATTCTGACTGAACCCCATTGCCAAAATACAGTCCCGGTGCCATTACTCATTTCCATATACCCCTGACCACCTCCTAGAGCCTCGAGTTTCATAATAGCTGAATTTAGTTTTCCTTTTGTAATCATATTTTCTTCGTGGTGTTCGCCTGGATATTTCCTTCCGTGATTGAGCCAATATCCCTAGACATCTGCATTTTTTCTACATGGTGCATTTCTGTCTTGCAGGTTTTTTTCAGTGTTCGCCCTTTTCGTTGTAGAACACCATTACTCCAGACTCGCCATTATAGCAAAACTTAGGGCCCAAGCGGTCCCCTTCCTTTCCACATATTCCATACAGTTTCTAATGTATCGCGGTTATCTGCGATTATGTCGTCGGCATACATTCGTCCTGGGATTACTTGCATTATATTTCTCCCCACTTCCATACAACTCGCATGAAAACCTAAACTGATCTGCTTTAATTTCTTTTTCATTCCACTTAGGTATATCATGAAGAGCAGGTGAGACAGTTGGACACCCCTGCTTGAGCCCTCTTTTTAGTGCTGTTGGTTGTGCAGTTTCTGCTTCTTCTGTTATAACTACATCATTGTCTGCGTACACCTGTTGAGAGACCTAACAAAATTTGCACGTAAGTTATGCCCCTTCAGCTGGCCCCATAGTCTTCGCTGCTTCACACAATCGTCCTCTTGATGTCCAAATAAGATCACCATAAGGGTCTTTGGCTCTTCATTGCTATCTAATGAGTGATGACGAATAGGTTTTCTTCAAGCCTTATGTCTCCTCGAAATCCATTCTAAAGCTTGCCCAGAATTTGCATTTCTTCTGCCCCTTCCTCTAATCTTCGCTTTATTATCTGCATTATTAGTCTATACAAAAGGGATGTTACTGTTATCGAGCGGTACGTCTTGATGTCATTAATTCCTCTGACTCTTCGTATCAGCCTCATTTGTCGTAAATTCGAGTTACTTGTTTTATAGGGTCTCTATGAGCCCGATGGGAATGTCATCTGGGCCTGTCGCAGTAACTGCTGCAGGGAACCTTACATTGTTATACGCTGTAGTCTGCTCTTTCTGTACACCCTGCTGTTCTCAGCGTTCCCCACTGGCTCCCTTTCGTGAGAAAGCCTCTTCGATTATCTGCCTAATATGACCTTGTGCCGTAGAACTCGTAAGTAAACGTTGGAAGTGGCTACGCGACAGACGTTGTAGCGTGCCATTACAGTTTGCATAACGTGAAACTTTCACGTTATGCAGACTAATAAATGTTCAAAAGTCTGTTCGCTTGTGTAGCCCACTGGTGGACGAATGGGTGCAGAGAGCAAGCAATGCCAATCGGCTCATGCGAAATTGCGACAGAACAGCGAGGAACGGTGTCGCCAAATTTGAAACAAACATGCCATCACGCGTGGGCGTAATAATACTCCAACATTTCTTGAATTCCTGAGTATGGACTATATATATATATATATATATATATATATATATACGCTCAAAAACGCGATCCTCGTGTTTCTTTTTACACGTTTTTTTAGAGAGATAAAACCAGCCTAAATGTAAAACTGAAAGGAAGTTACTCTGTCCGAAATAATTTGAAGCCCCCCCCCCTTTTTTTATTTGTTTATCAGACATTCATTGGTGTATATTGGAGTTCTTCGGCAAGGTTGTGTTAAGCACTATTAACGTGAGCTGCAGCGCACGACTAAACACAAACGCACATCTCTTTAGATCGGCTGGGATAATTCAACGATTGTGTTCGATGACCCAATGTCATGTGTGTAATATTATGGTGTTTGATGCAATCTTGCAAGATGGCGTTCGTGCGTATACCATAAGCGTGCCCTGTCCTGTATCTATACGGACACGTGAATTGTATTTTAATTTTCTACAAATGAATCGCGTACATTTTATTGAATCCTTTCCTACTTCTATTGGTCAGCTCGTTCTTGTGTAGAAAGAGGAAGAATTAAAAGGAAATAAGCCACCAGCTGACTAGCAACTTGATTTAGTGTTCAAAGTTTGTTCTTTTCTTTGACACGTATTCTCTTCCTCTTCAGTGATCGTTGTACATGCACAAATATATACACACAAAACATATTCTGTAAAAAAATAATTTTTGCACAGAATATGTTTTGTGTGTACTATAAATTTCTGTATTTATACGACCTCTGAAGAGAAAGAAGATGCGTAAAAAAGAAAAACAAGAAAAAGGTTCATCAATAAGGTTGATATAGTTTGCTTGGATTTCTTGTCCCTTTAAATCTTCTCTCTACACAAGTTCAAGCTGACCAATAAGAAGTATGTACGAACTAGCTCAATTCAAGCCCTTAACTCAGTTTGTTTCTCCCTTTCCCCCATGCAGGGTATAAAGCCTGTGGGATCATAATTTTTGGCTAATCTCTTTGGTGTCTGATTGTGTGTGTTTATCTGCCAGTAATATTAAGAAAATAAAAACGAGCTCTTCAGAGGATATACAAGGACCACCGCACCACCGGTTAATGTATACGATTCGGGCCATTGAACGCGAGGCTTCCAACCATGTCAATAAATCTGGGATACATGAGTCGTATCTCAATACAAGCATACGTTATCCCGAATTTGACTAAGATGCGGCCGCGGATTGAAAGGTCATTGAACTTTTCAATGCAAAAACGGATAATTGTCACCCCCACCACTTTAAACGAAGCAAATGTTTTTTTTTGTTTTTTTGTTTTTTAAATAGGATTTTTTTATTTGAAAAAGTTGGTCCCAGATTGTGTTATTCGCTCTATGAAATAACTTATTGCTCGAATTTTAGCATAGCGTCCCTGCCACTGAAACGGTTTTCGTGGCGCAACCAGAATAATTTTATTTTTGGTGCAGCCTATACAACTTCGTATTTAATAATCATTAAAGTAAAATTATGAGCGTACTTCCGTAGGTTAACGTTATCCACTTTATATTTATTTTCAGACTGCCCTGGTCTCCTGCCATCACAGGAAGCTCGCCGGAACACTGGACTGGACGATTCTTGATTTACTGAGCGCAGCTGTATATATTATACATGTAGCCCAAAACGTTGTCTCGATGTTTGGACAGATGAGTCAAAAGAAGCATGCAGCAAACGTTCTTGTCAGCCCCGTGTTAGCCAACTTATATCAACATTCCACGAACATTTTCCTTATGTCTACTGTATAATGGGTCCTCGTCGGTTTGACATCGACAATATTGAGAGGCGAAGTGTTTATTATGTCAGTATTGACTAATTTTCCGGACTTCGAGAACTTCAAAAACACTACCAGAATATTTTTTTTTTTCCCGAGACATCCCGACTGTGGTTATATTGCCTTCGTGATCTTAGATCATCAGTGTTTGAAAGAGCCTTGCCATCAGAAAAACGCCGATCGCTCAAAGAACCAAAGAGGTGATGTCATCAAGCATAATTGTCAAGCATCTGCTTGGCACACGACTGCCCCGTGTTCAGGCATGCGTGCGTCATTCACGAGGAACGAACGATCTTAAAGAAATAATTGCTGGAACAACGATGGATTGCCCCATTGAATGAACGCTAAAAACGCGCCGATTTCCGAATACTATCTTCAATTGGCAGCCGAAGCTTACCTGGGTACATCTGTGGCACAGAGGACGTTTATGTTTGTTGTTACATTACCCTGGCCAGCAGCCTTGACTCGACTTCGCCACACTTTACACGATGTGCTAATCGATGTCTGTAAATATGCCCAACAACCGCCGACGTCTTGTAATATGTCGGTCAACGCCGTAAACGTAACACAACCGCAAAAACCTGATGCCCCTAAGGAGATTACAGGCCTCGCGTTCTACGCAATCGGTTTGTTTGTAGCCGTTAACCAAATAGCACGGGGTTTACGCTTTTCACTGCACGCACTCTAAAAGTGAAGGCACTCCGGTCAAAAAAAGAGATTGCACTCACTCTGCGGCATGGCCTCGCTCATGGAGCCGACGCTGGCGTCGGCTTTGGACGGCGAAATCTTGGCTGTGGGTCGGAGCACCAGCTTGAATGAGGGCGGCCGGGATCGCAGTCCCGGCGACAACGACGTTGTTTGACGCAAGCACCACCGGCGCCTCCTAAACTGGCTGCAAGGACTGAAAGAAGACGTCGCTCGAAGCCGACCAACACGACGACCTCGCCGAAGTTCGAGCGTCCTCCGAGCTGCACGTCCCAATTCGTGACGACCCCGCCGCACGGCAAGGAACTACGACCTGGGTACAGGCGGTAGCTCCTTGCTCGGGTGTCGACGACGCTGCGCCGCCGACGACGACGACGTCGTCTCCCAGACCGAACGGCAAGGACACACTCACGGCACGGCACTGCTCGTGGTCACAGCGGCGGTGCCGCCGCGAAGCCGACGGCACCGCACATCCACCGTAGGTACGTCCATCGCATTCACAGAAAACGGCAGGAAACAAATACAAAAAGAAGATCGGCTAGGCCTAGCGCCGTACTCGGTACCCGAAGCTGAAACCACAGACCAACGCAGACGACACGTCCACGGACCGAGCCGTGCCGTACTGAGACGCGGGACGGCGGAGGCGCAACGGCCGCCCGGTTAGGTTCCGCCTTCGAACGTTGCGATTGGTTCGACCGTGCGGTGGGCGGAGTTGGCACGTCGGTTCTTTTTTTAAAAAGGGGGCTCGCTATTGGCTCGTTTGAAATTGGTGGCGGCGGCAGGGCGGAGGCTCGGCGGAATCGATGTGCGGCGTCGTCCGTCTGCGAAGGCAAAGGGAGTTATTTTATCTTATTTCACGTGCGTGTTTACTTTTTCCATAAAGCGGCGGCGGCGGCTTGCTTGCTCGGCACGGCCATTGTTTATGTTACGTTTGCGGCGCCCGCGGCGGCGCGAAGCCGTGAAGCCCAGTTGCGGCTTCGCCTTTGGCTACGTCTTGGATTAGGCTGTAGGCCGGGTTCTTGGCTCGGGTCGGTTCGGGCTTCGTCCGGTAAGCGTTCCGGCGGCTTAGCGGGTAGCCTGCTGCGGTTCGGCCGCTACGACACTACCGGATTTCTGCGTATCATAAACGGGGTTTAGAAACGCACGCACGTATACCTGTATTTTGAATGGCTGTAACTAACTCGCACTATTCGCTTGCGGCGCTAAGTTAATCCAGAAGCTTCGTCGAGTCTCCCGCGAGCGAGTCACAGTCGGGGACAATACAAACGCGAACAGCCCGCTTCTTCGCTTACTCATACACCGCACATAGGGTACTGCTTTAGACAGACGCTGAGGCACACCTATACGGACGCAAGCTACTCATTTGTACTCTTTAAATAGGTACTCTTGTCGTGTATATGTCCATAGAAGACAATAAAAAGTAATTATAGATCGCATGCTGTTAGCTTACCAATTCCAGGACGGCCGACGTCTTCGTTTCCGCTTATGCGATCGCGAGGAAAGGGAGCTTTTGCAGCTTTGGCACGACCAGGCCAACGCATTGGGGAAGGCTAAATGGATACGTCCTCATTCTCCAGTGGGGAAAAAATCAGCTCTATGGCGTTCTTATCTTCTCACTTTCTCTGTTGGGTCTCTTTTGTTTGTTTTTCTGGATATTTTTGTGTTGTTTTACATGATGCGATTGTAACTTCCGGAAGAAAGCAAACTTCGTTGCTTTCTTTCTTTTTTTTTTTTTTTTCGAAGACCATGGACTTCTTCAGATGGTCACGCAAATCAGTTGACGGGATTCCTGTGTATTGGTCTATTGTGCCTCTGTCCAAAAGACCGAGAATGAATACAAGAGTTGACCATGCGTGGACAATGGGGCATTCTTTTGACTTTGCGGCCGCAACGACCTTGGCGAGGGAGGACAGATGGGGGCCCCGGAAACTAACCTGGTTTCTCCGCAGGGACACATCCGTGTGTAACAAAAGCCGCGGCCCTCTCCACGAAGATTATACGGACATTCCTGATAAATAGCGTTGACCTGAAGTTGAACTTTGCATTTGCTCTGTAACTACTGAAGATGCCTCCCGCATGGAAAGCGAAATGTATGTATGTATGAGAAGCGTTTATTGGGCAGAAGTACAACTGGCAGTTACGCTAAGGTAGGGCCAACGAAACGTCTAATGATTTTTTTTTTCTTTTTGTGTGTTTCGAGTCGGTGCTTTTATCTTAAATATGACGTCTCCCAGCTTTCGGAATATTTTTGGACTAATAAAAAAGGGCAGTTCACCTCTGCTTACTTGCCCCCCATGTTTTGAGAAACCAGGTCACCGTGCCGCGGCTTGTCCAAGCCTTCGTGGCACGTTTGTATCCTGCAACTGTCTTTTCGTCAAATCATTTTTGTCATTTTATTAGGTGAAATCGCCCAATTTCACTTACCAGCTCTTCGTGCAAACTACTGGAACATATAATTTCTAATTACATCAATGATTTCCTCGATAAACATGAAATAATCTCGCCTTTTCAGCATGGGTTCCGAAAGGGACTTTCTACTACTACTCAGCTCATTTCAACTATTCATTCTTTTGCTTCTATAGTAGATAGGCCTGGTCAAGTCGACGTCATCTTCCTTGATTTTAGCAAAGCCTTCGACAGAGTTCCTCATTCCGGTCTTATATACAAACTAAATGAGATTGGCCTTCCCAGCACAGTTGTTCAATGGATTTCAGCTTATCTTCAAATGCGAAAACAATTCGTCGATGTAGTCGGTCACCATTCTGATCCTCTTCCTGTAATTTCGGGTGTTCCGCAAGGGAGTGTCCTTGGCCCTCTTCTTTTTTCAATTTTTATTAATGACCTCACTTTTTGTATAGATAAAAGCGAGAGTATTCGTTTATTTGCGGACGACTGTCTATTGTTCAAGGATATTAACTCTACTAGGGACCAAGTTGTTCTGAACGAAAGTCTTAATGCAGTTTCTAGCTGGTGCGATCGTTGGGAGATGAAGCTTAACCAAGAAAAGTCCTTGTACATGCGCATCACTAACAAAAAGTCCTCTCATCAGTATGAATACTTCATTGGTGATAACTACATCTCTCGGACGATGAGCTTTAAATATCTTGGTATAACAATTTCTAGCAACTTATCTTGGTCCTCACACATTGAACACGTTTGTGCAGCTGCCCGTCGAAAACTAGGTATGATAAGGCACAAGCTTAAGCACGTGCCTTCTCATGTGAAACTTTTAGCCTATAACACATTGATAAGAACGAAGTTAGAATACGCCTGTACAGTCTGGGATTCATTCACAAAAAAAGATATCAAGATACTGGAAGATGTTCAAAAGCAAGCAGCTCGTTTTATATTTAATCGCTACCACCCGAATGACTCACCTGCTGCCTTAATTCAAAGTAACAACATCATCTCTCTTGAATCACGAAGGAAGCTAGCTAGACTAAAATTTCTTTATCAACTCTGGTTTAAAAAACTCCGGCTTGAATCGTCGTCCTTTCTTCACCCATCCTCGACTAGGCACACAAGGCATGACCATCCGCATAAAATAACTCCAGTATTCGCTCGAACAAATGCATTTAAATACTCCTTCTTTCCCAGAACCATAACAGAATGGAACAACCTACCTCATCATAGTATTTATATCTGACAATGTTTTGGAGTCGATTGAGCGTTTGTTTGATGTGTAACTTTTTGCATTGTGTTTTATTTTCCTGTTCCCCACTACCGCCACTCCTCCCAACTTTGTTGTGAGCTATTACATGTGCTTTATTACAATTTTTGCATACTTTTTCCCTGTTCCCCTGTTCCCGTCTCCCATTTTACGGATTACCTGGTGTTGCGTTTTTTTTTTACTTGTCTTTTGTAACCCCCAATCCTGCTTGGGCCGCAATTGGCCTGCAGTATTCCTAAATAAAAAAAAATATATGGAAAAGTGTAAACGCAGGCGAGCTCGTGAATACATCCACAGTAAACCCAAAACACAAAAATAAAAAAGGTATATATAAGAAACAGACAGAACAATCAAGTCTCAAAATGTAATACTTAATTTCTGTCCTTTCTTTTTTTTTTTTTTTTATAGTTATTCGTTTTGGGGTTACTATGAACTGCGTATTCATATTTTTTTCTTTTTACGTTACGTGACAATGTAATGTTTACACGTTTGCCACATTTCGAATTGTGATGGAGAATAGTTGTGTATTCGGTATGCAGCGTAGAGCGCAGCGCTTCGATTGTTCATCAGCGATTTGTGTACAAGCACGGGAAAAAACCGGGTACTTTTTCTTTTTCTCTCTTTTTTTTCTCAGCTGAACTCGAATATTTATTTTGCAATAAATATATTTTGACGCATTGAAAACTGATGTGTAATTGTGTGACCAAAATCAATTATTATCAACCTTTTTTTTCTTTCTTTTTTTTTCTTTTTTGGAGGTCAAAGGAAGTTTGCAACGGTTGGAGGCTGGAGTAAGCATTTCGCATAGGTAATTCGATCACAAGTTCACAATACAGTAAAAAAAAAAGTTTCTAGAGTAAAACAAATTAAATACACGGGAAAGATGGAGTGAACGGAGAACGTTCGCGTACTGTTGTTCGCACCATTGAGAAAAAAAAAAGTGTTTCTTTTATTGTTTTTCCAGAAAACAGATGAGAACCTATACAAAGTCTGCGAGTCCTATAGAAGTCTTACGACATATTGTTTGTTCTTCTATGCTTAGTTCGTATATTTCTTCTTTTTCTTTTTTTTTCCGTCGGGACTCGAAAGCGCGTACCCAGAAGAAAATTTGTACGTGGCTTTTTGTTTCGCACTAAAGGATGGCCAAGGATCAAGTACAACATCGTACGTGTTTTAGAGGAAATGAGACTGGATTTATTGTACACGTCACTGACAGGGCTAGAACGGCAGGGAGAAGCTTCGGTTGTCCCGCTTCCAGCGCGAGCTCACTTTCGACAACGCGCTTCGCCATTCCGTGCACCTCGGACGCCCTCGCGCAGCCATCGCAAGTCGGAAGGGAACTTCGCCCAGTTTCACAGCGCATGCGCGAAGCGGGCTAAACCGCTACCGCCACACGATACGCCGTACAAAAGACTGTCTCCAGAAAAAAAATAAAAAAAATATTGGTGTGTGTGTGTTTGTTTATATACAACCTAGAACTTGTATAGTTTGCCTCAATGCGCGACTCGTCTTTCAGCTGTATAGATGAGGAGTTTAGCCAGTGCGTTGCGAACCGTTGGCCTGGGGTCTGCAGACAGTCAGTTTGTAGACACCGTCTGTGGCGTGTTTACATTCCTCATGTGGCGGCCATGGCAGATATGAGTCATACAAGCACTCTCTGCGAACATGTATACGGAGCGTACAAATGTATGGAAGAAAACGTGCTCCGAACATATATCTGAGACATGTCTTCAGATTAATTCTGTCGTCATGTCTGCCGAGAAACTCCGCGTCTCTTGTATGAACTGTATATGGACATTGTGGCTGCGACCTTGGGAGTGTGATAGTCCCTGCGTGTACACAGGGGAGGTTAGCGTCGGCAGTTTTACGTAAATGTCTGGAAGCGTGTCAAAGCAATCAGAAATCACTCTAAAAAAAAAGAAAAAAAAAAGGCTTTGAACCCAATTTGGTTTGCCCCGATTTTTATGCTCCACTGGTTTCGAACCTGCGGCGATGTGTTGGCGTGGGCGAGCTTCCACTATAGGCTTGACTTTCTTGGAGGAAAAAGCGATGAATGGACTGTCTACGTACTGTCCCTTTATATACTGTGCTTATGATTGTCGATGAACGCGGATTTGTCTGGTTCGCGCGCTGTTACGTGCCTCACATTCAGAGCAACCTGCGGGAAACAAGCTGATGGTATACAGTTACAACAGAGTCACTGGTACAACCGTTTCATCGCGCAAATCGACGACAACATGGAATCACGCGTGAGGTGCACAAG